GCAAAATATTGTTTAATTTAAACTTTATCGGGAGCTTGCGAATTTATCTTCAGTCCTTACAGAGATTTAAAAAATATCTATCTATGTAAATTTTATTTTCATTGCATGATTCTGCAAAAGAATAAGGTATTATTTTCTTGTTAATTGTGTGAAATAGCCAGAACAACCGCAGTGATGTGAAGTCGATGTTTACCGAAAGTATGCTGTGAAACATACAAATAGTAGATATCTAGATGTTATGCACAAATTTACTTTAAAAGAACTAGCTTGAAACTGACTTATTATTTGAAAATTTATCTAAATTATTCCAATTATAAAATTGTGATGTAGCTTTATTCGTATTGTAATACGCATTTAATTTCATCTTCCGATTAAAATGGATCGATCTTTGTAAATTTTAATTGGAGATAATTCCATATTATCAAAATCACCCTCTACCAACCTAATTTTTACATATTTCCTCTGTTTTCCCTTAAGCCCTGTATGCAGCTCTCAAGAAAACGGTCAAGAAAAAATTGCCATTATTATTTCGCGTGTGTGTCCAAGGAATTTTGACATTTTTGATACCTTACAGCCTGTTTCCTCACTCTTTCCTCAAGAAATAATGGAACGGGCATATATTTCTGTTGCAAGCCTGGGTTGCCTTGTGACCTTTTTTCACAAAAAACTTTAGAAAACCGTACTAGAAAACGTAGTAAATTTCTTAAGAACTGCGTACTGCATTAAGGAAATTTGACTCAAGAAAATTTCTTAGCCATTTCTTGTACGTCATTTTATATGGACTTTTTGCTTTTCTTGAGAGCTGCATACAGGTCTTTAATTTGATAAAATACTTCTTCCTAGTTACGACTTAGGGCCGGTTGTTCAATGTCTGGTTATCACGACTTGCCGGTTAGACATCATTATCGACGATTTCGACATCATGCGTTTAACATGTGATCGATAAAGCAGTCGTTGTATCTAACCGGAGCTTCTACCTCCGATTTGTGCTAATCAGACATTGAACAACCGGCCCTTAGTTGCAGCTGCAGCCGAAACTAAATTTTAAGTTGGTACTTAGCCAGAAAAGTCGAAACTAACGCGACTAGAATAGCTTTAGTTGTGACTTAGAATAGTTTCGACTTAGTTGAGTACTAAATATGACTATGAATATGCGCCATGGTTTGTATATATTTTTTTAGTATTTTTTTAATTTTTATTAAATTTTTGTAAAAACTAAAGATAGTAAGATTTTCTATCCCGCGATTTTTTATTCCAAATTTTCGCCTGCGGCGCTTTTCCTTTTTCATATAAAACTATATTTTTATATATATTTAGTCAAATATGATGTCCACAAGAATTTTTTGCTACAAGTCATATATCAAATTAACGGTATTTTTGTGATCTTTCTGATAAACATATCTGTTAATATAAATAATTACGTATCTTTTAAAGAAAAACATACATTTTTATAAAAAATTGCCATAATTTCGTTGTTTACCTTTTTTCGCAATGTGTATACATTATATACATAGATATATATATATCGGATGAAAGGCCCATCAATCACCTTTCCAACTGTCCATATTTTGAAAATCTGTTCAATAGTTTTCGAAATATAAGCTTTTGAAAATGTTGAAAATTCCACGGTAAGCCCCCCCTATCGCCGCCCCTGTCAACTTGCACCAAAAAAAAAATATGCCGTTAAAATCCGGAAAAGGGGGCGGGCCACGCCCACTTTTTTCCTCTCTAGCTCAGGGGTCAGTATTCTTTACCGCAGAACTCCACAGGTAAACACCGATGGCCTACCAACTGTCACTTTGACAAGCAATGTGATTGCAAGTTTTTGTGTGTGGGCACTTTGATGTCTTGAAATAAGTATTTGCCGCATGACGCCACCATACAACATTCTCTCAATTTCGGTGTTTAAAAACATTTAAATCTTTAAAAAGCTTGCTGAATAATTTCCTAAAACGTAATCATAAATAATCCATAAGGAACAGACTTTTATTTTGATTTAATATAAAAATTTCATCGATGTTACCACCAGCACGCTTTCTTTCAAATGAAAATATGGCTGTCAAACTATCGAATTGCCTGCAATAGATGTCAAGCAATAAGCGCTGACATATATTGCAGCACATGAAAAATAACTGTCTCCATTGGAAATATATTTTGTGACATAGTTTTCACGACATCAGCGTTTTCCTGTGGAGACAGGACCTTAGGTGTTCCTTTTGTTTTCGATACCTATTTAGTAACGATCGAAAAGTATCGAGTGTGTACTTGTATTTACTCGTATCGTTTCATTCCTAACAGAATTTGGTTTTAAGATCTAATATTTTAAACTCTGGAATGGCGAAAATGGCTTTTCAACATCAGGCCGGTACGGCCATGGAGTGCTTAAGTGTAGGCATTTAAATAAAATGACAATCTCTTATTAAATATAACATTTCAGATTCCAATAACGCTTCATAAAGAAAAAGACTTTGACCGCGAAGGGCGTGAAATACTAAAGTGTGGATTTAAAATAGGAGGTGGCATAGACCAAGATTTTAAGAAAAGCCCTCAAGGATATACTGACTATGTTAGTAATATAATCATTTTAACATAATTTAATGTCGCCATTTTCAGGGTATATATGTTACTGAAGTTCACGAGAAAAGTCCAGCGTCAAGAGCGGGTTTGCGTATCCACGACAAAATCTTACAGTGCAATGGTTATGATTTTACAATGGTTACTCATAAAAAGGCAGTTAGCTACATTCGGAAAAATCCAGTTTTAAATATGCTCATTGCAAGGAAAGGAGTAACTTCCACGTAACTGTTTACTTTATTTTTCGAAAAAAAGGGAGCACTGGGGTTTCCTTTTCTATATTCGCGCTTTTGTTTCGCTTACTACGTCGGAATGGGTGGGCCGAAAGTAATATTTGTCACATATACACGTTGCAAAAAAATCATTATTTTAAGTAAAGGTACATTTATTGTCTAACATTAACAAATTTTATAAAAGAAAAGAATTGAAATACCATCAATCGCGGACTCTGAAATTGATAGCCAAAAGTATGGGCCATTTTCACAACCTCCTTTAAACATCGTTATCGACGTTACTGACTCCATACATTTAACATTAAACGGCGGTTCAAGTCGCTAAATGGGAAAATTTTAGTTTGGCATCCCCCGCGTAAAAAAAAAGGTGTCAATGGGGGGGGGGGGGGGGGGGGGCTAATATCCGGCCGGATTCCGGATAACGAATATAGAAGTTTCAATTTAGAAATTTAACCCAGATTTTGTAAAAATCGCTTTAACCCAGAGTTTGTAATCCAATTTAATAGTATCTAATTAGTAATCAAAGCTTCCGCATTATCGGGCAATAACCTATTTCTATTTTCAACATAAATGTTACCCGATGCACTAAATCCTCTTTCCGAGTTCACTGAGGAAGGTGGAAGGCAGAGATACTTCATTGCCAGTGTAAACAAATTTGGAAATTCTTTGCGGCTATACTTTCACCAAGTTAAGGGATCTTCTTGTCTGGATATAAGAGGTAGCTGCAAATATTTCTCTATTTCTAGTTTAATGTACGTTCGCTGCCGTGTCTACCAATCGTTTGGCTATCCAAACTAGAATCAGCATCAGAGCCGTTGGCGATTTCCTGAAAGCATTGCCAAATATCCTCGTGAGCTCGATCTTCGATGGAAGCCTTCACTATAGTTCGGCATTTTTCATATGATTCAACTGGTTTCTCCATGCTAACTGATTTATAATTTCGAATTAGTTCATCAACAACCCAGTTTTTTGCTTTATTGGCATCAGAAAAAAAACGAGTTTTGAAACGTGGGTCACAAAATGTTGCAATAGTGAAGCATTGTCGTTGTTGAATGTTTAGTCCTATAATCAAGTAAATTTTTTTATAATAGTTCTATAAATACTTTTGATAAGTGAATCGCAATTTCATACCTTTTGCGACAGAGTTGCATTGGCTTCAGTTTATCAGGTTTATTCAGTGAAATCGCTGGATAAATTTATCAGAAATGTGTAAACGAGTTTCCATAAAAATTTTGACAGTTCATTTATAAAGTTTACACAATTATATGTTTATACGGTTTACATTGCATAGTCGTTTGACATGTGCTGTGGACCGTGTAAAGTGCTGTTTGATCAAAATGATAAACAAAGTGAAAGAACAAGTGCCCGATAATTTAAATAAAAAGAAATGAGCAAGAAAAGAAAATAATTCGACTTCATTTTAGAACTAATAAATTATTACAACAAAAACTGAAATTGTATGGGTTTTTTGACGTGTGTAAGTCAAACCATCTAATTACACAGACATATCTGTGCACAATAATTTAAATAAAAACACATAATTGAACAAGGAAAAGGTATACGACTTAGTATTAGTATTAACAAATGAATACAAAGCTTTCTTAAGCTTCTCTTCAACTTCATCCAAAACGAAACACTGAAATTTGATGGGTTTTTTGAAGCGTGTAAGTTAAACCATCTAATTACACAGAAGACAGTTTGATCAAACAATGTGACCATGTAAGGTCCATATAAGGCATCAACACACATGTGCGATTCTGACGGTGCGAATCTGTTCCGAAAAAATTACAATGCCGCAACTATTTATTGGAAATTGCAGACCTACGCGTTCGGAAACGAAAAAGGTTAATAGGCGGGTTCTGTATAATTTAAACAAAAATTAACGTAAGAAAACAAAACATCTTGATTGTTCAAAAGCAAAGAATTTGATGAAGATTGTTTTTTGTTTGTTTATAAGATGCCATTTTTCACTGCGATAGCATCGCACAGATGTGTGCGTAATTGTGTTTTTGAAGTGGTAAATTCTGTAGCATCAGAAACGGTGCGGAGGTCGAGGTGAACTCGAGCCGGCAAATTGAATGCAATTTATTAAGGGCAGCAGTCTACCGGATATCCGAATCCGGCTGTTATTTTTTACAGGATATCCGGTTATCCGGCAAAATCTGTATCCGCCACATCCCTAATTTTTAGTAAATTAAGGGCCGGTTACTTAATGTCTGGTTAACACTAATCTCCGGTAATGCATGGAGCCGAACACGTCGATAATGATGTTTAAACGGAGATTAGCGTTAACCAGACATTGAGTAACCGGCCCCAAGTAAGTTTTTATAGTTATCACCCACTTATATATGTATACGCACATTGTGAATACAGAACCGTTGATTCAACCATGGTTTCACACTGACATTAGAAGAGTGCTGCCACATCTAAGAAAATAACAATAAAAGAGAATAGTTTTTATCGACCCATTTTCCTGCTCAGCGTTGAATTAGTAGTAAAGGAGGGTATGGGGTTAAACACCCCCAATATATACAAAAAATGACAAGCGCCGCACGCGAAGATTATCGCGCGATTTTTTATTAAAAATTTTCATTACTTATCGAAGTATTGATTTTTATGGAAAAAGCGCCGCGGGCGAAAATTTTTAACAAAAAATCGTGCGAAAAAAAATTATACCGTCATGATCAGGAGTAAGACTCCTATCGATCCTAATATTATTATTTTTAATAAGAGCAATGTATGTACGTATTGTACACTTATACTCCCTAATTATACGCACTTATTTGTGGTGTATTTTTTTAACGTATGGTAGCATACATTTTGTGTTACTGTCAGCCATTTTTATTTCTGCTTGTTTGTGAAATGTGCAAACGTTTGTGAAGACATTTATAAACGCATTTTACTTAATTAATTAATTAAGAATTGTATATTAAAGTGGAAATTTCAGGCCGGGGTTTTAATGGAACTATTTTGCCGAAGTGTGTACATAAATATAGTGTTTATTGTGTGAAATAGCGCCGAGAGGTTAGTTCAATTTACAAACTTTAACAACAAATAACTTAAAAACTATAAGCCTGCTGCTGCTTAAAGTATATATATATTTGCAATCAGGAGAACTCCCTCTACCGTTCCATAGCTACCTTAATGCGGAACTCCGGGGATGCCAAACTAAATTGCAGCCCATTATAATCTTGTAATCAATTTATTCAGTCAGGTTTAAATTTAAAACTAAATAAAAAGTATTGTTTAATTTCTGTACAAATGCCTAGGGACGAAACGATACCATGCAGGTATCGATACCTTTACTTGGAAGTAGTATCGTAGGAAAGTATCGATACCCGAAGAATATCGGATTTAAAGTATCGATACGGCCCGTCTCCACAGGCAAAAGTTTTTGCCTACCAACTGTCATTTTTATTGCCTGATAAAAATTTTATCAGCGGCAATATTTGTGCGTGGGCATTTTTTATCTTGATAAAAGCATTTATAAGATGGCAATTTTTGCGGGTTTCATCAATTAAAAAGTTTAAAAAGTATGCTATTTCACACCCAAGCAAATAATAACACATATTTTAATAGAAAGCAGTTCAATTTTTGCTTTTATATTGAAATATCGATAATGTTACCTCCACGAAGCTATCGCGCAAATGAAAATGTAGCTGTCAAAGTACCAAATTGCTGGCAATATTTATCAAGATAAAAGGTCTGATAATTATTGCTTGCCAAGAGCAATATGCGGTCTCCATGGGCAAAATTTTGCCTGATAACATTATCAAGATAAAAACTTTTGCCTGTGGAGACAGCAAGATACCTACTCGTATCGGTACTTCTGGCTATAAAGCACAGTATAGACAGTAACCAACCTTTTTGGGTTGTTGTAGTAGTCGTTGTTGTTGTAGTTATATTCACTCCTGAGGAAGGCACGGGGTTGTGTGCTGCTATTTAATGGCCTTCCTCAGACTTTTTCTTAGATTTCAGGGTTGTGTGCTGCATTATTATTAGATAAATAAATTTAAGCATTTGACAAATCGTGATTTTATTAAAAGAAAATTATAAATGGTGTTGAAAAACCAAACAAACGCTCGTGCGAAAGCTCTATTATTGTGTGTTGTTAAAATTTATACATGGCGTATTGATGGTAATACAAGCAATGTATTCTTTTGTGGATTTTATGTTACTTGAAAATTTAGACAACGTGCGAGCTACCAGGTTTTGTTATCAATATAACTTGAAAATTTAGACAACGTGCGAGCTACCAGGTTCTGTTATCAATATAATTAACACAAGCTTTTCCGCGTGGTTGCCTTTCAATAAATAGAATAAACAAATATTCGCAAATAAATTGGATTTATTTTATAACTGACAACTAACGTACGCTTTTTGTTCTTTTCTCCATTTTGATTTTGACTCTTTATTACCGCCAACAACTTTATGTGTATACATATTTACAAGCTGTCAAAATTTTGCGTAGTCCCACGAGCTAGGTAAAAACTATGGCATTCGTATACACAACGAGAAATCTCAACATTTTTGTTTGGTCTTTCCAAATTTTCTCTTTTTTATCAGTTGGCAAAGGCCCTCAGTGGCAGCGCTCCGAGCGTTGAGATAGTAATTTCATGTGAATTAGTAGAAAACTTCAATGTTGAAAACACTTCTTATTATGGCTAGAAAATTTTACATTTCTGCTGTGCCAATTCGTAACTTTTTACTGCTGGAAATTTTTGACAGTTGCTCTGGTGCAAAAGAAGTTGAGCAATAAAAATCAGAAATTATACAAAAAAGACTTGTCTTTACTGACATTTGTTCTTCAAGAACTAAAAGCCATGCATTTATTAGACGCCTTAGTAATAAAATTAGAGCAAACAAATTCTTCAAAACCGTCAGGCCGGGTTGAAAATTTTAATTCACCTCATAGTTAACAAAAATTTACAATCCGTAGTACTTTTCTATCAATTCGCAAATGCCGTTTGCACAAAAAAGTTTATGAAATGCGTTTTATTTAAATCGTTTAGAAAAGGAGTCATTTATGTATACCATTTTATGTGGAATTATTCAATAAAGTTCGTTTTACACTATACTTTTTGAAACTATTTGGAGTTAATTATTTTTTGTTTCTTAAAAGCAACCCTGCGTGCTTGGAAGGCGTGTGTACCAATAATTTCATCCCTAGCATATTCATCCCCGAGAAAGGCAGTCGCCAAATTCA